TCACAGCTAGTTCCATATAGCGACTGCTACACGGGTAAAAACGCTAAGCCCGCTGTTGAACAGGATTGAAGAATGTCTTGCTGCCCACGTTGTTCACACTTGTCAACAACATTTAACAATATTGTTGAGTCTGAATCGGGTGTAACAATATTGTTCAATGTTGTTGACAACTGTGAACAATGTGGGTAACAAAACAATCTTCAATCTTGTTTTCATCAACATTGCAACAACCTGATCGTTTTTAGCCGTGTTATAACCACCACAATCATTCGCAATCTGATCGTAAATATAAAACAAATAATGAAGTTATCCGTTAATTACAGTGTTCTGCCGATGGGTCGCCACTTTCAGTGTGGTGAATTTCGGTCCGTTCACATTTCGGAATAAATTACATTTTTAAGTTATTTTTTCTGCTTTATTTGAAACTAACTAATATCATAAAAGTTCTCGAACGCAACATTGATAATATTAACTACTCATAATATTATCAGCGATTTTCAACATTCGGATTAATTGTGAATCAAATGTCACAAGTTTTATTTGCAAATTAATATTACTAATGAATAAATATTATATATACACGATACCAGATTTGCAACATCGACTTTAGCGGTTTCACTTTCAGGAATAATTTAACCCTTGCACTGATAATATATGATAAAATTAAATGAGACAAAAACTGTTGAAAGGAGAACTTTCTGGTATTAGTCTTGAAAGGCATAATGATTATGTTGATGTCGCGGAGCAAATCCGGTATCGTTTAACCTCATATGGGGCCTGAAGTTATTACATATCGGCATTTATTGTTCAAATTTTTTGAAATCAAAATAATAGTGAAATTATTAAAATAATTTTGTTCTTTTTATATTTGGCTGTGAACAGTGACCGCATGCTTGTATAATATTTCGATTTAATTGAGGTTCTGGAATCCAAAAATAATCTCGGGGCATATCTCTATATAACTCATGAGTCGTACTGTTTTCAAAGGGTTCATGGAAATTGGGGATATATCTTCAAAATATGTGGTTTGTTTGCGGAAGGTGGGGAGGTGGAGTTATCCAAACATATTCTTTCAAAATGAAAAATCTTTGAAAATTTGTTTTCTACTTATTTTTGAAAGGTTCGGTATAATATACCATTTATAGACCTTTCACTCGGGATATTCCACAAAAAATTACCCTGCGGGATGAAATATTCCTCGGGCTTCGCCCTCGGAATATTTCATCCCTCAGGGTAATTTTTTGTGGAATACCCCTCGTTTCAGGTCTATAACTGATATATATATATATATATATATATATATATATATATATATATATATATATATATATATATATATATATATATATATATATATATAATTATGTTTATATTGTATATCTCGATTTAATGACATGAAATAGAAACTAGCCTTTTTCAATGAAGTCCAAGTCATACTAAACGTCACCGAATAAGCAATATACATAAGTGAATGGATAACAGCATGAAGAACACTGCGGCTTCATCTTGCTCTCTGCGTGTTTCACCAATTTACCAAAATATCTCAGGAATAACATTCGCAGTCATCGGATATATTATTATCTAACAGTCTGCTACTGCTTGGAATGATACAGGATCCGCTGAAGAAATTTTTCGTCATATCTTGTCATGAATCTTTGTGTTTCGGACATTCTAACTTCCCTTACGGTGATTGCGGGAACAGTTTGGTGTAGTCCTTGTGTAGATGGAGTACGTGTGGATGTTTAGATCTTTTTCACTCACCGATGTACAGTTCCTTTTCTAGCGTTTTAACAATGGCGTTTGACCGTTACATGAGCTGTTGTCATCCGTTAAAATATAGAATCTTCATAACCGAAAGGTTTACCAAATGTCCTACTACAATGGTTGTTTTCCATTGTTACAGCAATTTTCGAAATGTTTTACGAAAAGTGGGTTTTCTATCCAAGGAACATAATGGGAACATGCATTGCATTTATCGCAGTCATAATGTATGCCAAACCAGCCTATGTATTAAAGAAGAAATCAAGGTACCTGAAGAGCATAATGGACCAACCGGCATCCGTTGTTCAACACCAGAAATCACGACTGCTGAACGAGAAACGCTTTCTTACTACCATATTTATGGTGTCCTGTATTTCGGTATCATCTTTATGTCCTTTGCTCATATACGATGCAATAAACGAGAAGCCCTATTATATGAATTATGCAAAGCTTTGGTCTTTCACAGATATCATTCAGTGGTGGCTTATCACCTTGTTTTACGTGAATTTTTGGGTAAATAGAGACCTTAAGATTGACGTTTACGGCAAACGTCAAACCGCTAGCGAAGTTTTTGATTTTACAACTCTATTATTATAGCTTTTACACCAGTTTTGAAATATGTTAGACTTATTAAACTTGTGCTCTTTAGCAATGATTTAAGAAAGCAAATTAACCGCTAGTCATGCCATTCACCAAAGCAGTAAATTAAGATTTGGCGTTTGAAGTTGGCGTTTGGCGTATAAATTTCATGCTTGAACTGCTACGAGGGCTTGTAGTCGTTAAAGCATGAAATTTATACGCCAAACGTCAACTTCAAACGCCAAATCTTAATTTACTGCTTTGGTGAATGGCATGATTTGTGGTTAATTTGCTTTCTTAAATCATTGCTAAAGAGCACAAGTTTAATAAGTCTAACATATTTCAAAACTGGTGTAAAAGTATAATAATAGAGTTGTAAAATCAAAAACTTCGCTAGCGGTTTGACGTTTGCGGTAAACGTCAATCTTAAGGTCTCTAATCTCTTTGTGTACAGTTGGCGCTTGACGAGGTATAGAAAAACTCTTTCGGTGGTTATCAGAAAATTTACGCATAGGCATTAAGATGGTTGGGGCTTTTACACCAGTTTTCAAAATTACGCGACCTCCCGCGGAAAATAACCTCACTTCGAATGTCCGTTTTAAGTCACGCGAATTCGAAGTAGCAAACGTAAAGAACCCTAACTTCGTTATCTCGGGAACCGCACGTCGCCTGGGGACGAGACTTGTACCATGCAACTCCCTGGAAACCTACCAGAAACACCCTGGAACCTAGCCGAAACACCCGGGAATCCATCTGGAACACCCTGGAACATTGCTAGAAATAGTCCAGGAATTATTTGCTTGAGTAGTTGGACGAATTTCAACAAATTAAACGCTAAAACATTGTCAGTATACACTGTACCGGTGGTGTTGAACTAATTTGGGGTTTACTGTGAAATACTGTTTATCATTCAGTTCTGACTTGTGAAGTGAAACTTTTAAGCCACACTAGTTTGTTATCTTACTCAGCCTACTCAGGCTAACACCACAGGCAAGCGAATTGTACCTTTTAGTCGACCTCTGGATTGTAGTTACAACTTAGAACAGTGTTTTGACATTCAAAGACGAGTCATGCATGCATGCATGCATGCATGCATGCATGCAGAGTGTAAGAAAATTTGAAATTTGTGTTAAAGCATTTCTCAAGTACTATAGTGCAAAACCTAATCAAGGTGTGAATGGCCGCATATATATTAGAAGACGTCTTTAACGCCTGAGATCACTTAAAGGTAGGTTACAGTCCCTTCTGCGCATGTTTGTGTTTGTTTTTGCCTGCGGACTCCACCGGAAGTTGGCATCTCGGCTTATGCTCGGTCCAGTCTCATTTATGGCAATAACACGTGCGTTGTTTTTATCGCAATCGAATTTAATAGCTTATAAAGGAGTGAAGAAGTTTCCAAAATATTTTGAACTTTTTTGACACGACTAGTAGTAAAGAGTACTACGCTAGCAGGGATGCTTCCAAAGTGTATCTATTTTATTGTTTTCCTCGATGGAGAGCTTGCCGTTTCTGCTTTTCCCCATGATTAACCTGAGTATCAGGCTCTATTTTACATGCATGGCTTTATTTACAAGCTCTATAGAAATGCAGCGAAGTATTGTGAAAAATTACACTCCTGGGTCGCAAATTTTTTGGAATGTTAGTTAAGTTCATCATATACTTAATCTTATATAATTAATGTGGATCAAAACAAAAGACGTAAACATAGCCCGCGCATGCACAGAAGGGACTGCAACCTAATTTTAAATGCAGCGGAGAAATTTAGAACATACATACGAGAAATTTAGAACTGTAGGAGGTTTTGCGCATTAAATTTAAACATCAAAGTTCTAAAATTCCCCGTTACAAGGCGTTAAATTTAAAAAAATTCCAGTTCTAAATAAACTGACTTATAGAAGGATTAGAAGAGAAATGAGAGATATAAAGAATAAGATAGAGATTATCGAGAGAAAAACAGTGGAAATTGAAGTCCTGAAAAGAAACCTTGATGACATAAATACTCGTGCAATTCGTAGTACAGGTATAACTACAGAAACATTTATTACACGATGCGTTCGACAAGAGAGTAGTCAAAATACTCAGATGTAAAACCTACGCCAAAAATTTCATAACAACATTTAGAATGTCTTTAGCCTCTTAAATATTGGGATTTCTGCGGTAAATCCTAAAATCTTGTCCATTTTTTAAGCTTACTGCAGGGTTTTACCCCTCAATTTTAGTATGCATGATGATAAGTCATTGCTGAAGCTAGAAATTTCACTAAAGTTGTTTTAGTTGCTATTGTAGTTGCTACTGTAAAGCTTTTGAAAATATGATTCTCTTTGCGTCATGCTTATTGCACGCTTCTGATTTAACTCAAGGGCTTCCTAAACATTATATTTCCCATCTCAAATGATCAAAGGACGATATCATGTTCCGAGTTTTTGACAGTTGTTGTTGTAGTATACTGAGACTTGTTTTAGTATAAGAATATAAGCAAAACAAACAACGTGGTCGAGTTACAATACACTTATTTTATTTCCATACAGCATTATGGGATATGCATAAATTATGCTAATATGAACCTTAATATATTACACTGCTTTTCCTTTTTTTTTAGTTATTTATAAATATTAGTCAAACAACAATATAAACAGAAAATACTTACCATCCAAACCTATTTACTGGCTTTCTGATTCTCCCAGATCTCCGAAGATCTTTCTGCTGGGCAACAACATCTGAAGACACCACAGGTGTCACATTTTTCTCAACTACCTCTATCAGTGATTCACTTACCTCGGTGGCTATTTCGCTATTGTCATCTGCGACAGTCTGTTCCCCAGATTCTGAAATACTTACCTCTGGTTTGTCATCATCATCTTTTAAATCATTGCTACCATTCTCTCTACCATCATGTGCCTTGATCATATGATCTGGATGCACACGTCTCATTCTCTTTCCACATTTTACTACATATGTCCGCGGCCCACAACTCTTAACTACTGTACCTAAAATCCATTTGTTAGTTTTGTTCGTTGCTATAGCTTTTAAGAGGCAGTCCGTGTAAAAACCGACCACTCGAATTTCTTAAGATTACAGATTTCCTTCAAACTTTCTGTGTGGAAGAAGTCATTCATAAAATGAACAAAAAACGTTGACTTGGAAATTGTAGTCAGTTTTAAGAATTTTTTCGCAATTATTTTCGGACGCGTTCGAAAACAAGTTAAAACGTTAATTACGCAAGTGATATTTGAGCTTTTTTATACCTCACAGTTCATCTCGCGCTTTTATTCTAACTTCTTGAAACTTACATATTTTATTATTTCCTGCCTAGGCATAAACCTAAACTAAAAATTATGCTGGTCACTTGAAGCAAACAAAATATTGTGTATTTTTAAAAACGTCTTTCAGACAGCGGATTAAATATTCGTCTTAGTATGCTGGCGGTAAATTATTTTTTCTCAAAAGTGCAACGGTATCAGGTATCCAATCTATTGCAGCTACTGAGTATTATGACACATCTACTAGAATAAATAATAAAATCTTTGGGCAGTGTGTTTTTCACTTGACAAGCGCGTCATGAATATAGTTAATTTTCGCTAATTCGACTAATTATAAGCTATAATTTGTTAATGCATTTACTTAAATTTTTCGCGTTAAAAACATACAAAATTGTTCACTATCTTTCAAATATGGCTGTTTTTTTGGATAGAGACTAAGTTATAAATATGCCAGCATTTATTCTAGGTTTATAACATAGAGCAAAAGTCCTGACGCATGTGCCGCGGACTGAAATTGACATGCACGCGTTGCTAATTTTATCCGCCGGTATTATCTTTTTATTATTTATCAGTGTATGAAGGTACTGTAAACATACTGATCTTGGTAACTAAAACTATATGCACCGATTTCCTCCGAATCTACACATCTATCACAGGAGAATATTAGAAGAAAGTATATTATACAATTTATTAGAGAGTAATGTTTTTCGCGTGAAAAGCGGTTGATATGTAATCCCCGTCATCGCTTGAAGTCGGTCAACGCGTAATTTCAAGTTTTTCTTCGCTTTCTTAACAGTATATTTATATCGTAAAATCATTACAATCTTAACTCGTTGAAGTCGGGGGGGGGGGGTAACATCTCCCAAAGAAAAGTCAAGAAAGGGGCCCAAATATTTTCGGGCAATATAGACCACAGCTTCTCCAATAGATATATGAATCCCGTACGCCTATGAGTGTACTACTATACATTTATATTGCTCTCATGTGCA